CCAATAAGGGCCGAAGATCAACATCCTTTGTCCATGTTGGGGAGATGTCTCGTTAAAAACCTCACTGGGAAAAACCCTATGGGAAAAATTCTAATGAAGGGAAAAGAGTAGACCGGATGCCCAAAAAATAAAGCAAAAGGGTGAGCCTGTAATACTTGAGATTTAATTTAAACGGATTAATAGTACTACTCATACTAACAAGGTGCATCTCCTTTTAAGAGAGCTCATTAGCCAAGAACTACAAAGTTAAGCGTGCTTGCATGGGAGTAGTCTTGGGATGGGTGACCCCTTGGGAAGTTTCTCAGGGCGCGCACGAGTGAGGAAAAAGTGCACGGAAAAGGCTGGTGGCGGTTTGTGAGGACAGTACTAGAGGTCAAAAGTAACTACCTCAGGGCCTGCGGGGCCGGGGTATTACAAATGGTATCAGAGCAACCTTACGACAGTGTGCTGATCCGTTGGATATCGGGTGGGCACTTAGCAGGGGAAAAGATTCTGGGATATGATTGAGATTGGTTTATGGGCGCAACGAGGACGTTGCGTTCCTAAGTGGGGGTGATTGTAATACTTGAGATTTAATTTAAACGGATTAATAGTACTACTCATACTAACAAGGTACATCTCCTTTTAAGAGAGCTCATTAGCAAAGAACTACAAAGTTAAGCGTGCTTGCACGGGAGTAGTCTTGGATGGGTGACCCCCTGGGAAGTTTCTTAGGGCGCGCACGAGTGAGGACAAAGTGCACGGAAAAGGCTAGTGGCGGTTTGTGAGGACAGTACTAGAGGTCAAACGTAACTACCTCGGGGCCTGCGGGACCGGGGTGTTACAGAGCCTTTCGGCCTAGGTGTGGATCTGCGATGGGCGCCATCTACTGAGGGGATGGCCGAGATCGGTCTTCGTATGTGAGTAACTCGGCATGATAAATAGTTTTAGTCATCAAATAAAGATGACTAAGAGATAGGTCGATAGACCGTCCGTAATATGATGTCCAAGTCATCAAATAAAGATGACCGGGGTATGTGACCGAGAGGCCTATATGAAGTCCAAGTCGTTAAATAAAGATGACCAAGAGCGACGGCTAAGGGGCCGGTATGATTCCATCAATTAATTGCACCTATGCATTTAAATAAAATTGTTACAATTTCTTGAGCTTATAATTCGCTATTGGATTTGGGCCTACGTTGAGTGGCCTCAAATTTTCAAGGTAGAGTATGACTTTGATAGTTATGGGACTCCCATAACTCGTACATAACATAGAAATGAGAGTGTGTACTAGATGACATTCGGATTTGGAGCTTATTATCGTCACACCCGTATGACGTGACCCGGTGGTGCGAGATTTCAGCACTTTGCCGGTGTACGTGAGTGCTTGAAATTCATAAGTCCGTTTTTGAATGTTCTAGCTATCACTGAATCCATCCTCTGATGGATTCTAAGAACCCTAAATAGGTCATCTTTAATTTCAAAGTTACTATGACTAGTATCATGGTCATTTAAATGTAAAAATTGAACATAAGTTACTATGACCCAAGTTACTACTATAACACTATAATTCAGAGGTCACATTTTTGTAAACAACCTTTATTTTAGTCATAAATATGTAACTATTTCTAATAATAATATGAAATAATGACGAATATATGACTCTAATGAAGGAATCATATTAGTACATTTTTTGTAATATTCTTTTATATTGTTACACTTTTGTAATTTTTTTCTTATTCATACACTTTTTTCTATAATATATTTTATCTTTTTTATATTTTTTTAGTGATTTTTTAAAGGCATTCAGTTTCTTCATTTCGATTTACATTTCATAAATTATGAGATTACAATTGTATGTGCGGTTTACATTTTCATATGTGTGAGTTACATTTATACACAATCCTGGAGCTACATTTGATAATACATGGCATTACATTTTTTAAGCGCGGTTTACATTTGCATGTGCTTGAGTTACATTGTCATATGAGTGAGTTGCATTTGGACTTACTTCACCAAGTTGCACTTTACATATACGTGAGTTACATTTTATAGCAACGCGAGTTACATTTTGTATAATGCGAGTTACACCATAAAATAAACTCTTGCCTTTGAAACAAAATAAAAATCACAGTTCACGCGTGTTTTGGGTGGGAGAGTATGATTTTTTTAAATATATCATTTATAGCTCTCATACTAAAAACAAAATATATTCACTATTTAAGTAAAGTAATTGGTTCTTCCAAAAAAAGTAAAGTAATTGGACAATTAGATTCTGCTTTTTCATTGTTTACATTGAAACCACTGTTTTATTTCTTATGCTCCGTAGTAAAATACTTAAATTTTGACTTGCCTGAAATTAGACTCACCATCAACGTGAGTTACATTTCATTACACCACCTTGCTACTGAAACAAAAAAAATTGTCCGTTTGTGCTGTTATATAATACATATTGTTTACGTGTGTTAGGTGTGAGAGTATAATATCCACTGTTTGGTTGAGTTTTGAAGGACACATAAACGAGAAAATTCCCTAAATAGGATTAAAACAATGACAATGTTTATAAATAAGACTATTATTGTTTTATTCCCAAAATAGGACTCATTCACTCCTATTTTGGGAAATTTAACTTAACTTGTTTTTTTAATATGAGTGAAACAGTCATATTTGTGGAATAAAACATACTTAGTCGTGTTTTCTTGAATTGTAGAAACTAGATACTCCTTTTGGAGTACAAAACAAAACGATCGAGAGCTCATTTGGTAAGCCTTGTTCAAATATCAGTATTATCAATCAATTTTTTTTATCAAACACATAACTTTTGATTTCACGCGCCGAATTGTATAATAATCAAAATAATTAAGGTTGAAGTAATTTTTCTAACTGAATTAACTTAAGTTACTATAGAGAATCATTTTAATTATTTTTCATACATTTTTTTCTTAATTCTATCCATAAAATATTTAAAATATAAATGAGGGTTTACCCTATTCCGATATTTCCTCACTCCCTTAAAATTTCAAACTTTAAAGTTCTTTAGGAATTTGTATTACTACTGTTTCCTCCATATTTTAAAGTTTGTTATACTTTCTTTTTTAGAATGTATTAAAAGTTTGTTACACTTTTTTTTTATAAGTTTTTCCATTTAAAAGTACTCAATTACTCTTACATTTTCTACTTATTATCTTCTCTTTAACACTTCTCAACCTTCTATCATACTTTTTCTACACTATTCATCACCCCTACTATTCCCTTATTAAATAATGTGTCAAGAGCCTAATGTAACAATGGTTTAAATATGGAGGGGGTATGAATTTACTGACATTACCCTATTTTGATGACAAGATATTTGATATTGTTTTAACCATGTGGTTTTATTCAGACCAACTAATTGAGTTGAAAATCCATACGTAAATGTTCTAAGAAATTACTTCTCTCACCTCTCACTCCTATAATGATATTTCTCTCACCCTTTTCTCTCTATTCCCACACCCCCCTCCTTCCATACGTACACCCTCCTCTGCTGCTCACTTATCTCTTTCAATCCATTCTCCTTTTCGAAATTTTTCAATCTAATTAGTATCAGAGATTGGGCTGAAAAGAGATTTGGAAAATCACCGGAGTGACAACTTTACCATATTCCATATTACTCACATCATCAAGTTTTTCTTAAATCAGAAAAAGAATTAGGAATGAAAACTCGGCAGAAAACAAAACTAAAAATTAGTAAATTCAAACCGGTGTTGTTCACATACATTAGTTGTCTATGCATAAACATTACTTCCTCCGGTTCTTATTTAAGTTCCCAGTTTGACTTCACACATATTAAGAAAATGAATTTGACTTTACTGTGGAGTGCACTGTTTGGCACTGTTTGGCTCTGTTTGGACACTGTTTGGCACTGTTTTGCACTGTTTTGTTTCCTAAAATGGAAGTGTGAATTTAAATAAGGGACATCCCAAAAAGGAAAATGGGAACTTTAATAAGAACCGGAGGGAGTAGTTGCTTGCGACAGACAAAAAGTAACTATGCACAAACAATAGTTTTCTGTGCACGCGCATCAGTTTCCGTGCAACAAAATGATGATTAAAATAATATTCACATCAATTTGCGTTCTTTCTTTTCAGAGACATCCCCCCTCAATTGCACGCAAACCTTAGTTGTTTGTGCATAGACATTAGTTGTTTGCAACATACAAAAAATGTTTGTGCACAAATAACTAATGTTTGTGCATATGCATTGGTTTGAATTTATTAATTTATAAATATAGAAATTTAGTTCATTTACAATTTATATTTTTTTATAGACAATGTGTGTGTGTATTTATTTATTTATTTAGGATAAAATAGAAAATAACTCCTGTGACTATTCATCTCCAATTTTCTTGCGACTTCCTGAAGACTTTGAAACTCCGGTTGTTTTTTCGAAAGGGATGGAGGTAGTATAATTTTCGGTTTATAATATGGAATATGGTAAAGAATGAGAACCCGACCAATTGTTTAGTCTGATAGATTAGTAAACCGCTAATATGTCTAAAACCGAAAATAATTGGTGACCTACGCAAGCCCGGACCCGAATCAGCTCAGTTCAAACCTGCGATATACTTCCTCCGTTCCATAAAAGTTGCAACATTGGAATTTCTGCACTATTCACACACCTTACTTTGACTACAATTTTCTAATAATATATATAATAAAAATATTATGTATAAAATATTAATAAATTTGTATTAGTGTAAATTTCCAATATATTAACTTTTTTTAATGTTGACTAATACGTAAATAAATATAATTACAGTCAAAGTTGCGCGTTGGCAAACATGAAAGTCAAACCGTTGCACCTTTTATGGAACGGAGGATAGTATGAAAACTCCGGAACAAAAGGTTGTAGGCGAGAATGGAACAATATGGGTAAATCTATGAGAAATGTTGAGTTCTTTTATACTGATTGTTGTATGTTTAAGCAGTTGAAAATTGGTTGATTTAACTTAAATATGATTTTGAGTTGGCATGGTTTTGCAGCTGGATCTTCACACGCAGTCGAGAAATGAATAATGACCGGTCAAACTCTGATCTGATTAATAATGATTGAGTATTTAGACCCCCAACTTTTCATTTCCTATTCGTACTTGCGTTTACTTAAAATTGGATTGGCAAGTGGGTGCACAAGGTAATGTAATTTCGTGTAAGCAGATGGCATGAATTCTAGTTATATTTATCCGAGAAATGCTAAAGGTATCCCAAATGGGGTACCCCATTCTTATCCTGGCCTAATGTGTGGCCATAAATGGAGCAACACATTTAAGTGAGACAACACATTTAAGTATGTGTATATATACAAAATTTAATTTCAATAAAATGCATCTTCAGGTAATCTTGACCATCACAATTTGAGAAAAATTGAATGTGTATTTGCTAAGTGTCACAAATACATAACCTTATCTCTATGATTTAGTGTTTTCAGCGTAAATAGAGCACTTTTAGTGTAAATACAGTGTATTTTAGTAATTACGCAATCATACTTTGATATTTTGAAACCATCTCCTGAAGACATGTTTTAGAACTCGGTAAGATCTTTCCAACGAGATATTAAACGCTTTTAACGGAACAAAATAGAGAAAGATATGATCGCATCAAATTCTACACGAGTTCAGAGTGAAATCAGAAACATTTGTAAATATATGGTTAATCTGTAACTTTTAATTAATGCATTGTAAATGAAGTTGGAACAAAAGCTTTAGAGCACCAAATTATATTTCCAAAGAGATAAAATACGCTCTAAACGGAAGAACACACAGCAAGATATGAGTGTCACAAATACTTAGCCTTATCTATATGATTTAGCGTTTTTAGCGTAAATAGAGCACTTTTAGCGTAAATACAGTGTATTTTAGTAATTAGGCAATCATCCCTTGATACTTTGAAACCAGCGTCTCAAGACAAGTTTTAGAATTCGGTAATATCTTTCCAACGAGATATTAAACGCTTTCAACGGAACAAAATAGAGCAAGATATGATCGCATCAAATTCTACACTTGTTCGGAGTGAAATCAGAAACATTTGTGAATTTAAGGTTAATCTGTAACTTTTAATTAACGCATTGTAAATGAAGTTGGAACAATAGCTTTAGATCTCCAAATTATCTTTCCAACGAGATATAATACGTTCAAAACGGAAGAACACGCAGCAAGATATGAGTGTCACAAATACTTAGTCTTATCTCTATGATTTAGCATTTTCGTCGTAAATAGAGCACTTTTAGCGTAAATACAGTATATTTTAATAATTAGGCAATCACCCCTTGATATTTTGAAACCAGTGCCTGAAGACAAGTTTTAGAACTCGGTAAGATCTTTCTAAAGAGATATTAAACGCTTTCAACGGAACAAAATAGAGCAAGATATGATCGCATCAAATTCTACACGAGTTTGGAGTGAAATCAGAAATATTTATGAATATATGGTTAATCTGTAACTTTTAATTAATGCATTGTAAATGAAGTTGCAACAATAGCTTTAGAGAACTAAATTATCTTTCCAACGAGATATAATACGCTCTAAACGGAAGAACACACAGCAAGATATGAGTGTCACAAATACATAGTCTTATCTCTATGATATAGCGTTTTCAGCGAAAATAGATCACTTTTAGCGTAAATACAGTGTATTCTAATAATTAGGCAATCATCACTTGATATTTTTCAACCAGCGCCTGAAGACAAGTTTTAGAACTCGGTAAGATCTTTCCAACAAGATATTAAACGCTTTCAACGGAACAAAATAGAGCAATATATGATCACATCAAATTCTACACGAGTTCGGAATGAAATTAGAAATATTTGTGAATATATGGTTAATATGTAACTTTTAATTAATGAATTGTAAATGAAGTTGGAACAATAGCTTTAGAGCACCAAATTATCTTTCCAACGAGATATAATACGCTCTAAATGGAAGATTACACAGCAAGATATGAGTGTCACAAATACTTAGCCTTATCTCTGTGATTTAGCGTTTTCAGCGTAAATAGAGCACTTTTAGCGTAAATACAGTGTGATGGAGTATATGGCCCGGGAACCCCCGGCCCATAGACTCCTACTACTCCAGTAAAGGCCCAACAGGCCCAGAAGGCACAACAGGCCCAAATCACAGTGCCCAGAGTACCAAGCAGCCCGCAATACGCGCTAGGGGTGCCTTCGGCCCCCTGGCCGAAGGCTGAAACTCTCACAGAACGGGTTTCTCGAGCAAACTAAGAAACTGGGGAAAAAACGGCAGAAAACAGTAGCCCTCGGCACCTGGAGCCCTCGGCACTCAGGGGTCCTCGGCACTAAGAGCCCTCAGCACTAATTCATACTGAATACACTCTCTCTCTTACTTACTTGTGCTCTGACTTCTCTCTAAGTTATTCTCAGCAATAACCCTTCGGATATATACCCCCCGGTAGACTATCCATCACAGTGTATTTTAGTAACTAGGCAATTATCCATTGATATTTTGAAAACCAGGGCCTGAGAAAAAGTTTTAGAACTCGATAAAATCTTTCCAGCGAGATATTAAACGCTTTCAACGGAACAAAATAGAGCAAGATATGATCACATCAAATTCTACACGAGTTCAGAGTGAAATCAGAATCATTTGTGAATTTATGGTTAATCTGTAACTTTTAATTAATGGATTGTAAATGAAGTTGGAACAATAGCTTTAGAGCTCCAAATTATCTGTCCAATGAGATATAATACGCTCAAAATGGAAGAACACACATACTTAGCCTTATCTCTATGATTTTGCGTTTCAGCGTAAATAGAGCACTTTTAGCGTAAATACAGTGCATTTTAGTAATTAGGCAATTATCGCTTGATATTTTGAAACCAGCACGCTAATGATAACTAAAGGTAGGGTTCTAGAGAGAGTTGAGAGCGTCTCTCACTAGGAACTCGATCCTAGGTTGCTCTCTCTTCCCCCTTCCGGCGTCCGACGCCGCCGCTCACGATGGTGCGCCGCCGAAGCCCTCATGGCTCCGGTAGGATTGTTCTGGGCTATGGCTAAGTATTTTTGGAAAAAAACTTAGTTCTTGGGATTGTTAGTTTAAAGAGGTGTGCTGGCCTCTTCTATGGTGGAGATGTTGCTTGAGGCTGTCGGCGGTTTCTGAAGGCATCCAAACAGCCTAAACCTTGGGGTGGTTTCTGTAGGATATAACCACTCTTGATCACACAAAAACTCCTCTTACTTCACTTTGAGTATAAGAAAGGCACGCAGGAATTTTTTTAACTTTGGTGTGAAGCTCTATATGGCTTCATCACCAGTTTATTTCATTTATAAGCAAACGAATGAAAGAAAGAAGGGAAGTGGTTGCTACAATTCAGCAACTCACCCATGACCTACTCCATAATCCTAAAAACTAGCTACGCATAACAAAAATAACAAACCTTATTTTCCTACGTAGACTAAGTCGTTGCATGGGCTTATTTTACGTAAATAAATATGTATAACACATAAATAACAAGTTTAACCAACATTCTTCCCCTTAAACTTGTCCCAATTGGAGTCACTTTATCCTGGTTACTCCCAACTTCCTTCGCAGTTCTTCAAACTTCTGCTTTGGCAATGGTTTTGTCATCAAGTCGGTTAGCTGTTCTTCAGTTCTCACGTGCTATACTTTCACTTTCCCTTCTTGTACACACTCACGGATGAAGTGAAACCCGGTGTAAATATGTTTGCTTCTATCGTGATAAACTGGGTTCCTTGCCAATGCAATGGCAGACTTGTTGTCAATGTGAAGTGTGATTTGAATGTCTGAGTCTCCTCTCAGGTTCTTCAGCATGTTTGCAAGCCATATGCCTTGACATGCTCCAGTTGTGGCTGCAATATACTCTGCTTCGCAGGATGACAAAGCTACCACCTTCTGCTTTTGTGATAGGCTTACTTCCCAGAAAATACACAACTCCACTTGTACTTTTCCTGTCATCCATGTCCCCTGCTAGGTCACTATCAGTGTAGCCTATAAGATCTTCATCACTTTCTTCTTTCTTATAGATGCACCCCATATGCAGAGTCCCCTTCACATATCTTAGGATCTGCTTTACAGCTCCTAAGTGCAATGTTGTGGGTGCTTCCATATATCTACTCATCACCCCTACTGAGTAGGCAAGATCAGGTCTTGTATGCACAAGATACCTTAGGCTACCAATCATACTCCTGTATGTAGTTTCATTAACAAACTCTTCCCCATTTGCATGCTTTCTCATCTTGGTCCTTGGTTCCATTGGCAACTGACAAGGATTACAATCTACCATGCCAAAATTCTCCAACATCCGCTTTGCATAAGTTGTTTGACACAAGGATGTTTCACCTTCCTTCTGACTTACTTCTATCCCAATATAGTAACTCAGAAGTCCGAGATCACTCATGTCAAAAGTCCGCTTCATCTCATATTTAAATATGTTGATAATGATCTTGTTTGACCCTGTCAGTATAAGATCATCTACGTATACACCAATTATCAAGATGTTACCTTGTACTTCTTTTTTGTATACTGCATGCTCATGAGGACACTTTGTGAAGCCAAGAGACTTCAAGCTTTGGTCTCGCTTGAAGTTCCAAGCTCTGGGTGCTTGTTTTAACCCGTATAGGGCCTTCTTCAATCTCAGCACCAAGTGTGGCTTTTCTTCATCAATGAAACCTTCTGGTTGAGTTACATATACCTCCTCTTCTAGCTCCCCATTAAGGAAAGCTGTCTTTACATCCATATGGTGAACCTCCCACTTCCTTTGTGCAGCATAGGCCAAAATCATTCTCACTGTCTCCATCCTGGAAACTGGCGCAAAAACTTCATTGTAGTCCACTCCATGTTTCTGTACATAGCCCTTTGCCACGAGTCTAGCCTTGTGCTTGATTACCTCCCCATTTGGATCTTTCTTGAGCTTATAGACCCACTTGAGGCCTATTGCTTTGTGTGTGTTTGGCAAACTAGAGAGTTCCCATGTGTCATTCTGCCTGATGGAGTGTATCTCCTGCTCCATGGCCTGCCTTCAATGTTCATTTTTTGAGGCTTCTTCATATGTGATTGGTTCCCCTAGTGCTAGGAAACACAATCCTGCCTCTTCTTCAACTTCCCTGGTGGCATCATAGATCTCCTGCAGAGATCTATATTTCTTTGGACTATCTGAATCTGTGCTTGAGTTTGTATCAGAATGCAGAGGGGGTGTTGTGGGTGTACTGCTGTTAGACTCATGAGGTTCTGAGCCTGTTGTTGTATTACTTACTACTTGCCCTTCAGAGTTTGATGTCACAGTGAAGTTGCCACCATCATTAGTGCCTTGATAGTCTGTAGTCTCCCAGTACCAGCTTTTGTCTTCCTAAAAAATGACATCCCGGCTAATTAGTATCTTCTTTTGTCTTGGTTCTAACAGCCTATAGGCTTTGGAACCTTCTTCATATCCAAGTAGTATAGTTCTAATGCTCCTATCTGCCACCTTTGGAAGGTGTGGTCTCACATTTTTTGCATGAGCCACACATCCCAATACCCTGAGATGATGCACCTTTGGAATCTTGCCAAACCAGGCTTGATAAGGAGTCCTTCCATCCACCCCTTTTGTATGGACCCTGTTCAGAATATATACATCAGTTTTTACAGCTTCCCCCCAATAGTGAGAGGGAACTTGCTTGCTTTTCAGCATGCATCTTGCCATCTCTACTATAGTTTGGTTTCTCCTCTCAACCACACCATTCTGTTGTGGGGAATAGGGTGCTGTATAGAACCTCTTCACACCATGTTTTTCACAGAATTCCCTAAAAGCTGCAGAAGTGAATTCCCCTCCTCTATCACTTCTTAAGCCTTTGAGTTTCTTGTCAGTCTCAATTTCAACACTCACTTTAAACTTCTTAAAGTGATCTAAGGCTTCATCTTTGGTTCTTAACATATAAACCCACATGAAACGAGAGTAATCATCCACTATCAATATAAAGTACCTGTTTCCTCCACAGATTTGTGGTGCAATAGGGCCACAGATGTCAATATGGGCCAATTCAAGTTGATGATTTGCTCTGAATGCTGAATTCTGTGGAAATGAGGTCCTGTGCTGCTTACCTACTACACACCCATCACAAATTTGGTTCACATGTTCAATCTTTGGCATGCCTTCCACCAAATTGTGTGTTTGCATCTTCTGCATGGAGTTAAAGTTCAGATGCCCCAGCCTTGCATGCCACAACCACTCCTTGCTTCCAATATTAGCCATGAGGCATACCTTCTTTGCATGATGGAGATTGATTACATGCAATCTGTTGGCCTGCCTTTTCACTTTTAGCAGCAACCTTCCTTTGTTATAGAGCTTCAGAGACCCTCCTTCTATAACAGCTTGGTTTCCGTCCTCATCCAACTGTCCAATGCTTAAGACATTACTCTTAAGTTTTGGAATATAATAAACTCCTGACAGAGTCAGATGTTCCTGATTTTTGCATTCAAGTAGCATGGATCCTTGGCCACATATCTCCACCTACTGAGCCATCTCCAAATTTCACCTTTCCCTTTATGGATTGGTCCAGTTCTGTGAAGCAACCCCTGTCTCCAGTCATGTGGTTACTACCACCTGTGTCAAGGTACCACGTACTTGAGGTTTTATTCTCTTCTTGGAGTAGCATTGCCATATTCAGTGTTCCCTTATATGAACTCACTAGTTCACAGGTCTCCATCATCAGCAAAGAGGTCTCCCCTTCTTCTTCTTGCTTCTCAGTCAGATGGACTCTCTCATTCTTCTTTTTGGATTGACATTCGCTAGCAAAGTGCCCCATTTTCCCACATGCATAGAACTTAATCTTGCTCTTGTTAAACTTTCTTTTCTGAAAGTTTGAACTCCCTTCATCATTAGAGTATGAGGCATCACCTATGCCTCTTCCCCTACCTCTTCCACGTCCGCACCCTCTTCCACCCCTGATGTTGCCTTGGTCTCTAGAGGGCTTTTTGTTGGACTTAGAATCCTCCTTTGCCTTCCACTCTGTCCTTGTTAAAAGAATAAATTCATCATCAGCTCCATAATCCTGCATTCTTCCTTCATGAGCCTTTAAAGACCCATCAATTTGATCCACAGTCTTGTGCTCTATATCTCCAAACTCCTCTATTGAGGAAGTGATCTGAAGGAACTTCCTTGAGGTTGATCTGAGTAGCTTCTTCACCACTTTAACCTCTTCCACCGTGTTACCCAGACTCCTTAGCTTTGTGACAAGGACAGTCAGTTTTTCTGAAAACTCATCTATAGTTTCAGACTCTTTCATCCTCAACCCTTCAAACTCACACCATAGAGTTTGGGTGTTGACCTCCTTCACCTTATCTGCCCCCAGATGCATGTATTTCAACATGGTCCAGGCTTCCTTTGCAGTTTTCTTGGCTCCAAGTTGAAGAAGAGTGTCCTCTCCTATCCCTTGGTAGATTGCAGCAAGGGCCATTTTGTCCTTACGATTTTCAACCGTTCCTTCGGCCTCTACTGCATCCCATACTCCTTGGGCTATCATGAACACCTCCATCTTGATAGCCCATGCCGCATAGTTGCTCCTTGTCAACATGGGATATTTTAGGGTAACTGAGCCTTCTTCTTCATGGTTGCCTGAGGTTGAATTCCTGGTCATGGTTGCGTGATCAATCTGCCTGGTGCTCTGATACCAAATGTAGGATATAACCACTCTTGATCACACAAAAACTCCTCTTACTTCACTTCGAGTATAAGAAAGGCACGCATGATTTTTTTTTACTTTGGTGTGAAGCTCTATATGGCTTCATAACCAGTTTATTTCATTTATAAGCAAACGAATGAAAGAAAGATGGGAAGTGGTTGCTACAATTCAGCAACTCACCCATGACCTACTCCATAATCCTAAAAACTAGCTACGCATAACAAAAATAACAAACCTTATTTTCCTACGTAGACTAAGAGCCCGTTTGGTGACCCATTTTTTCGGCTTATCAGGCTTATCAGGCAGTTTTTTCACCAAACACTTAACTTTTGATTTCGCGCGTTGAATTTTGTAATAAGCTGAAAAAGTAAGGTTAGAGTTACGTTTATGGCTGTATTGGCTGAAGTTACTGTAGATGATCATTTTTGCTATTTTTTCATATAATTTTTTGTTTAATTTATTAATAACAAATATTTTAAACATAATTTTTTCATAAATCAGCCAATACAGCCACTTCAGCCAAAACATCATAAATTTCAGCAGAATCATCCAATTCAGCTAATTTTAATGTTACCAAACGGGCTCTAAGACGTTGCATGGGCTTATTTTACGTAAATAAATATGTATAACACATAAATAACAAGTTTAACCAACAGTTTCCTGGAGCACCGGCCAACACTGATAACCCGTCCGGCCGGTCATGGCATATGGGGTGGCATGTACAGTGACGAGGACTGGGGAAGGCGAAGGTTCGGTGGAGATAAAGGGATTTTGACCGGAGGTAGAAGGCTGGATGGGTCGCTGGAGGAATCTATGGTGATGGAAGGTGGTGTCTTTGCTGTTTCTGAATTTCCAGTGGGATTGAGGTGCTTTGATGTTTTAACGGTGTTCATGGTTAGAGGTATGTTTTCCTACCAGATCTGCTGATTTTTCTCGACGGAAGGATGCCCCCGTTTTGATGATTTGGTTTTTGAGAATGGTGCGAATGTTTTGGTGTTGGGGGGCTATTGATGGGGGGTTTAGGAGGCAAACGACTGGTTGGGGTTGTTTATTTTGTTCGTAGAGATGAAGGAAGACAGAAAGTTGCCGGAGAGGAACGTTGGATTGGACTGAGTGTAGACAGACCCATCTGATGTTTTTGCTCGTGGTTTTGGATATATTTGATAAGGTGGTTACTTGGAAAGCAGTCAGGTCTCACCGGAGAAGAGAACCGACATTCCGTCTATCGAAACCGCTGGCTGCTACTGTGTCTGGCTACTATTTAAACCTCCAATCCTGCTGCCTTGCCGATGCCGTTGGGGACGCCGGAGCTCAGTGGGGGTATGGTGGTGGCCGGTGGGGTGGATATAAGTTTGACAGCTTTTTCCTACTGGCTGAGTTGCTGTACGAATACCTCTTCCCTCTGTGTTTCCATTGGGGAGATACCGGGACCAGGCGGGGTGGGGGGAGGGTATGTCGGGTTTGATGTCAGAAGCGTTTGTCTGACTTTGAGATTCATTTGGTTTGCCGCAGTTGATAGGCTGGTACATCGCCGGAGAAGATGATGGGAGCTGGTTCGACGTCATCGCTGACGCATAGGTGTGATGTTTGTGATTGGACACTCTGTCGCCGACCCTGTCGACCTGTCAACATCGCAGTTCAAATTCCAGGTTTGGCGCCTAGCCTGCTGCGGCGCTCAAGCTTAGCGATACGCTAGGCGGTGGAGATGGGCTGAACCCGGAATTCGTTTGAAACCTTAGAGGCATTGGGCTGGGGATCTATGTGAATGGATTTGGGCTGCTCTCTGGACCTCGCGGTTTGGATGGACAGCAACTTCCTTGGATGCAGTTGGACTTCTGGATACTTATGACAGCGGCACCAATTTTGGTTTGAGAAGCTAGGACTCCTTTTTGGGAACGGATATCTGGGATGGGGCTTTCGTTAGCTCTTGGCTCAATTGTGGATTTATTTTGAGCTACTTAATTGATGTACTGATTTGGACACTAAGTCGAGGCCTGTCCTGTGCTAGTTTTGATGTTTTGCTAGATCATTTTAAAAACTCTCCCTTGCCCTCTGCCTCTTGGTAGGGGGGGGGGGGGGGGGGGGGGAATGCTAGATACTATTTTAGGTTAGCTAGCTAGCTTAGATAGTTTTCTAATTTTTGATGCATTGTATTATGCTATTTTTCTGGATATATATATTTACATTTTATACAAAAAAATTGAAACCAGCACCTGAAGACAAGTTTTAGAACTTGGTATTATATTTCCAACGAGATATTAAACGGTTTCAACGGAACAAAATAGAGCAAGATATGATCGCATCAAATTCTATACGAGTTCGGAATGAAATCAGAAACATTTGTGAATATATGGTTAATCTGTAACTTTTAGTTAAGGCATTGTAAATGAAATGGGAACAATAGCTATAGAGCACCAAATTATCTTTCCAACGAGATATAATACGCTCTAAATGGAAGAACACACAACAAGATATGAGTGTCACAAATACTCAACCTTATCTCTATAATTTAGCGTTTTCAGCGTAAAGAGAGCACTTTTTAGCGTAAATACAGTGTATTTTAGTAATTAGGCAATCATCCCTTGATATTTTGAAACCAGTGCCTGAAGACAAGTTTTAGAACTCAGTATGATCTTTCCGAAACCAGCTTCCGCAAAGATGAACATTGAGGGAGAGTATAAATTACCATGGTTGAAGTATCCCCTCAAGGTTCAATCACTCAAACACTTGAGAAGACTCTCTTAAGAACCAATTTTGAAAAATTATTTGTCTGATCATTCACTCACTCATAGTGAAACCTCTTCTGCACCTAAGCTCAAACAACAATGGGTTCCTAAGGCTGAAGCCGAAAAGTTAAGATTGTCAAATCCTTCTCAACCAGCTAGCCTAGGATCTCAAATCAAACAGAAAGTGCAACAATTTCTCAAGGCTGAAAAGAAGGATCCATCTGGAGGTGGGTACCAAAACATACTTAATCTGCACGTCCGTCATGTGTGGTAACTGATCCGATTGCTCCACACACATGACGGGTATGAAGACGAGCTGCGAGCAATCAACTAGTGCATATTCTGAGGGGGAGTGTTTCTTTTTCTCTCCTCCTGATGCCAAACAACGAAGAAAGCACATTTCAAGGGGGGCTTTTCTACTTTACTCCCCGGGTAACAAACAACACAACTTGAAACTTTTGACGGGGAGTTTCTTTTTTCCCCTCCTGGTACTAGACAATGTTAAATGCAAGGATTATCTCAAGGATGCAAATTTTGAGGGGGAGTTTTCAAAGTTCTCCTCCCAAGCACCAATCATCATCAGAGGCATCCTATTGAGTGCCCCAGTTAAGGGGGAATACAGAGAGAAAAGAAAAGACCAAAGAGAAATGAGAGATAAGTCCTATTGGCTTAGTAAACCCAACTAAGCCTACCCAAGCGACAAAGCCGAGAGTGAGTGAGTAACTGAGTGAACACTATGAGAGTGAGGAAGCAGAAAGGTCAAGTGAGCTAGAGAACAATAATCATTCTCAAATCTGCTACCTCTATTGTGCTATCAATTGAGAAAATTACTCACAGTCACTCAAATACTCTAGACAATCCCCTTAGGTTCAGGACTGAATTTATTCAGATCCCGGGTAGAAGTCGCTGCATTTTGTCCAAACGGCACATGCACAACCATACCCAAGACCACTCACTTGTCTCCCAATAGACATGTGTTTAATCACACTTCACGGGGAACCTCATCTCTTATCACCGTCTCCTTCTGAGGCGACTGATACTGATTACAGTGGCCCACAGCCCCACGCCACTGAACATTCATTGATCACGTCGTGTCTAGTTATCTCACTCCCAAATGTTTTGATTTTCTAGGACACAAACACTTTTTAGAGTCAGCTGCAGGTCTTCATGACCCGCGAGAACTTCCATAGGGCTCATCTACTATAGATGAAGACCAATGATTGGAAGGAAGTCCTGCTGTTGCAACATAAAAATCACCAACATATTCAGGCCATCGCTTCAGAGTTTATCTCTATAGTGGTGATAACGGGCGTTGACACGACCTCGGGGGGGGCTACGTTATCTTTGCTGATCTTTATGATCATGCCATAACAACCAGAGTGACATCTACTTTAGATGCTTCACAATGACTGGTTAAAAGTCATGTTAGAGCTTTAATGCTTTTATCATTTTTACAGGCCACACATCAGTGTTTACATTGATGTTGCGATAACGGAACACCATGGTGTCTCCGGTGTTTATCTTTCTTGTTTGTTTTTTCTTTTTTTTCAGAATAAAAGAATAAAGGCATGACGCCCCGATTCATTGGATCGTCATGAGGGGGAGACTGGTCTACACGCTGTTAACTCTCAATAAATCATTCTTGGACATTTCTCTCCTTCAACACTTTCTCTACTATCTCTATCAAAAGCTTTGAATCAAATGGACAACTACGCTCACAAGTCAACCATCATTTTCCGATGTGTCACCGACAAGGTCTCCTCAAACACATTCACTTCAAATAGTCAAAAGACTACATTGTGGAGGAGACAGATGTCAGATACTGCGTACTGAAGATGAATGCCGTGCGCGTCTGAAAATTATCAGAACATCCATTCTAAAGGTGCCTTCGGACTTCATTCAAGCTGGCTACTTCTGGAAGGCAAGGATTACAAGCAAAAGATTCCTCAACTCCCGGCATCAAAGATCAAATTGAAAAGAAGACATCAAAGAGGAGATTGCAAGGATTTCTTCATAAAGCCTTCTCAAGAAGTCAAGTTCAAAGATAAAGGAAGCTGAATAACAACAAAGACAAAGACATCTGCGCTGCAATGCTGATTGAACGCGATTGAACACCAAGGGGAAGATTGTTGAGAATATTTTATGGTGTCCAATCTAGTTAAATATGTTTGTATTTGTGTAGTAATTATTTAGATGTGTAATATGGGCCACAAATGTATTTCAGCCCATTAGCCCACTTGTAAGTCTTAAGTTAGACATCCTTATGTTTAAAAGGATGCTAACTTAAGCAAACCCTAAGCCTCACATATTATTCACGCACATCTTTGTCGAGAAAGTGAGATCAGCTGTTCTTTGTGTTTTAATACCCTATTCTGTATTTCTAAATCTTTCTTGGTATTGAATCAAAGCTTTGTATGATTGTTGGATGAATTTGGGAGAAACAGATATTACAAGTAAACGACTAGCTCACCTCACTCTTTGTATATGAGATTGCCTCACTCTACCAAACTCACATACACTTACAAGAAGCCTTCTTGGATTGTCTCCTCTCACCTTCAATGATGCTCTTCACTCACACATATCAAGATACATCATTTCATTCTCTTCTCTCACAAGAAGGCTCTCACTCTCCTCTCTCAAGAAGGTTCTGAGTGACTCAAGAGCTCTTCTCGAGGCACTCTCCTTGGAATGATAGTCTTCTCTAGAACTTCGTATACAACATTACACTTCTAGAGTCTTCCAAGAAATATTCACAAGCTTCTCTAATCTTCTAGAAGGGTCTAGAGAACTCCACATTTCTTCGGAATGTGTTGGAAAATGTGTTAAAATCGCATGAAATGGTTAATTTGGAGAAATATTTTGAGTGGGGTCCACTTCCGATTTGGGTCGATTCAAAGTGGTTTTGGATTTTCCTCGTTAAGAGCTTCAATTCGATATGTGGTACACTCAAAACGGATAACGGGCGAATGAGAAATTGATTCTTGAAGTTCACTTGTTGAAATGGAAAAACTGAGAATAAGATGGGTTTCTAGTTTGATTTATCTCACACAGGAAAACCCCATGGATTTTCACCCCCTTATAAAGGGAACCCTCTTTGAAGGAGTTAAGATTAATAGGTGCAAAGGCTCTTTTTGCGCGCGGAGAGTGCATATAAAATCCAGAAAACGGAGAAGAAAAATTGTGACTTGTGTGCTCGGGCGACTTGCGGAACATTCTAAAACATTCATTACTTCTTTACATACATCTAGAGGCTTATAGACGTCTCTCCAATATTTTAGAATTATCATAATCTTCCCAATCAAGGAGAGAACCCAACACATTTATACCTCGTGAAAGTCCACGTAGCACCAAGTTGAATTTGGCAAAAATGAGTTGTATAACCAACTTACTCCATCTCCACCAAAGGAAATAGCACGAGTTGGGGTGTGCTTGAGCTGAATAATTTGAAGAACGTCAAATATCAAGTTGACGCAAAAAGATTTTATCTCAATTTAAAATGATACAAAATAGATAATTTTTGCACACACACACATACAATTTGGTTCAAGTAAAACATGTTACCTGGGTAAAAATATGAACTAATTTTGGTGATCTATGGCCCCGGCTATGTGATCATACCATATCAGGTTGAATGGTGTCTAAGTAGTTGCCAAGGACCGTGCTAGTGATGCTTGATGGTGTAAAGTTAATTGATGGTTAATTTGGCGGAATCGGTGAATTGGTCGAGGGAAACATTCGTACCATCAAAATAGTCATTATTAAGTTAAATACCGATGAGGAAAGAATGAACTTGCGATTTCTTAACAGGAAAACTGGAGATAGTGAGTTTTTTTTGGGAAATTAAGTTGTAGCATTAAGAGAAACAATGAGTGTGCTTTGAGTTATACTACGTAGTCATTAGACATAAGTAAAGGATCAAAGAAATGTGTTCATTTATAAAGTGTGACTCTTGTAACATTCAAACTTTTATCAAACACCTAGCAGCGCATGCTAACTGGGCTAACTTGCAAATGTACAAGTGCCGATATAGTAATGAATTCCGGTAATATACTGGATCGAATCTACAAGGAAACGTTGTTTAATTTAGTCCGAGAGTAGATGACTTTAAATAAATAAATGAGTAAAGTGTAGGGATGTTTTATTTGTGTTTTATGTTTTTGGCTTTTCACTTTTTGTTTGAGAAGATAATTGTTAAATAATTTTCAGTTTAAGATGAATGATAACAACAACTAAGGCTTCGGGAATCACTTAAATGCTTTAATAGGGTTGAATATTAGTTCTTTGCCAATAATTATGAATATGATGCCGCTAATATATTGTCAACTCCGGTTAAGGCAACGAGAGCGTAGTTTTCGTTACGTGTAAGTCCCGTTACGACTTACATTCATCTACCGAAAACCCCATTGAATATCAAGACATCACACCCGTATCATATAAGACCTGGTATATTTCTATTGTCGGTACTATATATGTTTATCCTTTAATGTTCATAGTTTAGACTTCAACATTGATTGCAAGTATAAACTAAATTTAACATACTTCTATGTTGTACACCATAGTCATAAACAATCAATATAAAAAGGATAAATCACAATTTATTTGTTTTGAACTTTTATCAAACACCTATTGGGCATAGAAGTTCATCCCTAGCCTTAGCTAAGAATTTAGCTTCTTGAGCTCATACTAATTACAAAAGTGTAACTAAGAACAAGGAAATATAATAACATACAAGAAAGTTACATAGAACCAATTGTAGAGGAGAAAAATGGCTTCTTCTCTAACTCTTCAAGATAATACAAAAATAAAATATAAAAACTGAATTTTAAGCTCTAAAGATGGAATGATCTTGTTTAATGAATTGAGCGTTTTATATAGGCTAAAGATTGGCATCTTTTAGTCTATTCAAGCCCAACAATTAGGCATGGATGAAATATTTAATCAGATCATAAGGAAAGTGGGGTTTTCCCATCAAAATATGGCTGCACGTCTCTTTGTATTCAGCAGAATCAGACTCAACCGGTGCCGGTTCTGGCCTGACCGGCACCGGTTCTTTGTATTTTTCGTGAACTAAAGGTCCAACCGGCACCGGTTCTCAGACGAACGGCGCCGTTCGTTGCGCCCAAATATTTACTTCATTCGTCTACTTGTTTCGATGTCCGCAATTGATCCAGAAATGCCGGTATTCGATCCCTTTTGACTTTTGACCCCGTTTTTGTCGCTCCATGCCATATTCCCCATTTTTGCATACTTTGGAATATTTACCTGTTTTCGCTCTATATATTTGTAAAGATAAATATAATTACCTACGTAAAACATAAGTTATTATTGTGCTTATCACATGCTACATTGGATGTGTGGGCATATTAAAAGATCGCATGGAAAATGAGACAATCAGATAAAAACTGGGAGTAGTCGCACCTATTGAAGATAAGATGTGCGAGTCTCAATTTTTGTGATTTAGTGATATGCTTAGAAGACTGATCTGAGAGTGATGCAACTTTTAGACGAGTTGAGAAGTTGGAGGGGAGAGAGAGAGAGAGACTCGAACACACCTGGATTAGAGAAGTCATGAGTGATATGTTTTTTCTCGGGTTTGATGAGAGTATGAATTTGGAAAAACCTAAGTGGAGGATGAATATTAGTGTGGATTATTGATCTCTAATCATCATCTTTTGTATCGGGCGATATCCTTTTATCTTCTTTAACATTCTTATATTCTTTATCACTTTATTCTTTTTAGTTTTGTCCTTTTTATATTATCATTTTTTTCTCCATTTCTCTTTTTAATGTTCTATACTCCCTCCGTCCCACTAACAATGGGACAAGAGGGAGTGGAATAAAACCAATAAAAAGTAGTTTATGTGATTGATATTGAATTAATCAAGTAATTAAGAATGATTTAACCATACAAAATTTACCAAATTTTATATGAGACCATCTTAGTGGGACGGGTCGCAGAGGTAAAATTGACAATCTTAATGGGATGGAAGGAGTGATACTTTTATCTTTGTTATCTTTTTTCCTTTTGGCTTCCTTATCATGTACCTTATCATAGCGGATCCTAAATTATTTTGAGATTAAAGCTTGAATGTTGTTATTATAGAGGGTGACTCTTAGATGTCTTTATAATGTGTTTGATGCCGAACAAATCTACCCTAAAAAAAAGCTCATAATTTAATTTTGATGTATGTCATGCATGACTACATATAGATGTTGACAACTACTATACCAAGCTATGCTTATGGGTAGATAGCCGCTAAATAAAATGTATGATAATGACAAGTACAAACCCTTGCTATTATCCTTTTTTTTCTTTTCAAATTCTGTTTCCCTAGTAACCTTTTTCTTTACTTGAATAAACTTTTAGGTATGCGGCCTCACGTTTACCCAACCCAATAAGGTGGATTTTTGGGATAAAAAAGGACAAGTACAAACAATGAAGAAAGAATGGCCCAAATATGATTAGTAGACTTTCAATGGACAAATATATCACCAGTTTTTGAAAGGACAAATTTATGACTTCTCCCACCCCAAAACCACCCATCTCGTTACTCTTCCTTTGCCAAGAAAACCTCCGTCCACGTTGAACATCGACAAGCTAAATTGTTCGCAGCTAGCAAGGGACATGGACTGTGCTGAAGATGACGAATCCGGCGACCACAGCCAGACTCCAGCGGCAGTGATTCGATGACTCCACCTCCGACGCCTCTGCTAACTCCGCCGCCTCGTCTTCTTCTCAATTATTTGCCGCCTCATCGTCTTCTCCTTTCTTTGTTTTACGCAGCGAGATCTACGATGAAGTGCCAGATCTGGAACTCCATTGCCTTCTACATCGATCCCTCGACGACATATGTTGTTGATGACGGCGATACCTTGGGAGTGGTGGCGTCGTGGCATTTCATTGGTGATCCGGTGGTGGCGTTGGGTGAGCATTGTCTTCGATTGAGCGGTCATTGCAGGTGGGCCACGACCATGGCTGTAAGGAATAATTGTATTTTAGATTTTGATGATGCTAAGTTAATTAGGATATTAGAGTACCCCTTTTTGTAATCTTGTATTAGAATTTTTCTTTGTGTAAGTAATAGCATAGTCGACTGGACAGAAACCGTCTTGGATCTCTTGATCAGAGTTGCTACCAGAGTTGCTCATTAGAGATGCTACCAGAGCTAGGCACCAGAGTTTCCATCAGAGCTGGACATCAAAGTTGTTATGAGAGAGCCTCATCATACTTGTTGATACTTAGAAGAATTTGAAGGTATTTCAAATAGTCGTTAAACTAACGGAAGATTTACTAACGGCTAGGAGCCTCTCAACAAAACATAGTACAGTTCACGCATTAAATGCACAATTAATGCGGTTCGTACGTTGAGATATTTAAAGCTGATGATTGACCATGCGGATATCTTCTCGCCCCCAAAATAACAAGTCGAGAACCAACTGATCAAATCAAGAGTACAAGCATTAAATGAAGTTGTCTTCTACACTCCAACGGGAAGGCATCTCCCAGTATATAAGATACACTTCGAAGAACAGGAACCCTAACGATTAAAACTATCTCTCTAAGTGCAAATATGCAAACGCTCAAAGACTACAACCTCCATTCATCTAGAGCAACAAAACATAACGTTGGAAAAGATTATAAACTCGATATCTTTTCTTTCCAACGTGAGAGAATCGTTCCTCCAGTTCTTCAACACTTCAAAAGCCTCATCTACACATCCTTTGTGATGAAGCAACGTTGCAGAAAACTGTTTCACTCTAACACTTCTTACAAAAGAAGGGACGTCTCAAACTAGCTGGAGTAGTGAAGTGGGGATACTTCAAGAAACTCAGTGAAACGAGACCAGTCATCAGGTTGCTAGGAAGAGCATCACGGGTGACAACTAGACTTGAAGAAGACGTGGAGAGCTTCTTAAGTGCTAGGACTAAGGTGTTGTAATTGTTATTTTACAAGCTTAGTGGAACAGTGGACTAGAGGAACGCGTTGTTCCTTGAACCACTATAAAAACTCCGGTGTCAGTTACTTTACGCATTTACTTTCGGCACTTAAGACTCTGACTGATTAACTCAAAAAGTTGGACTCTGTGTTCAGCAGATCTTCTTTGAGAGTTAATAGAAAGGCATTTGCCTTAGTGTTTTCCTGAGGCTACCCGGACTGAACTCTTATCCGCTGTCAGGTCAAGTTCTGCCATCAGAACACGACCTTCTCTGTCACTAGAACCAGACCTTCTCTGATATGTCATTTGTGACTTTGAGGAAAGTTTGACAAACCTGAACAGTCTATTCCCCCCCCCCCCCTCTAGATTGTTCCTTGTATAAACGGGACCAAAAAGTGGTATCAGAGCCTCCTTGTTCTTGTAATCTTTTAGGTTACTTGCTGAACAAAGATCCACTTGTTTCTTACCCTTGTTTTAATCTCTTAATATGGATAACACACTTTCCAAGAATCTCATGTTTTCAGTTACTAAGTTTGATGACTGGAAGATCAGGATGAAAGCCCACCTCTGCGCACTTCATGATAAAATGTGGGAAGTTCTTGATGCATGTCCTTTCACTCAGTTCAAAAAGGTGAACTCAGATTATCTTGCTGGTGGTGATGAACCACAGATGATCATCAAGGGATGTCATGAGTAGTCAACTGAAGAAAGGAGGAAGTACAACCTTGACAACATTGCCAAGAACATCCTCTACAAGGCCATAGATGACAAATACTTCACCAGAATCAAGAAGTGCACAGGCCAAGGAGATCTGAGATGCACTCACCCTAATTGGAGCTGGTCTTGAGCAGGAGAAGGATAACAAGCTCACAATCGCCATGAAGAAGTTTGAAGACTTCAAACTTCTCCCTAAAGAGTGCATAGCTGAGATGTATGCACGCCTGCTCACCCTTACTGTTGAGATCTCTGAGCTTGGGAAGGAACTGACTCCCAAGGAGATCAACCTGATGGTTCTCAGAGGTCTATCTTCACCCTGGAAGATGAAGGTCACTGCCATGCGAGATAGCAAGGACCTCAGGACATACAACACAGAAAAGCTCATCTCAGAAAAGCTTATGAGTTCGAGATGAATGAAGAAGAGAAAGAAGAAGCTGAGGACAAAACAACTACTGCCCTCACTGCCACTACCTCTAAGGTAAACAACTTTGACCCTTCCATTCTTTTAACTGACGAATATATGACTGCCTTTGCCAGGAAATTTAAGAAATTCTTGAATCCCAAGGATGGCAGAAGTCCATCCTCTGGCAGAAAGCCATTCCAGAAGACCAAGTCTTCAGAAAGAACTGGAGAGCTTCTCAGCTACAACTGCAGGCAGGCTGGGCATTTTATAGCCAACTGTCCACACCCTCTAGTGTCCAAGAGACAGGGACAGGAAGGAGAAAAGAAGTATGAGCACAGAAGAAGGAAATCTCTCATCTCTTAGCAACCAGAGAAGGACCCCCTCTCTTAGACAGAGTCCAGCTCAGAATCAGAGTCAGATGAGGCATTATGTTGCCTTGATACAGAGACCGAAGACCTATGTCTCATGGGTCAGTCTGATGATGAGGAATCCTCTACCTCTACTTCTAGTTTTTCTTCGGTAGGCAAAGCTTTTAATTCTGATTCAATGACAGAATTTTGGGAAGAGTTTAAAGCCATCCAAACCACTTACTCTTCTGTTAAAGAAGAAAATAGTAAGCTGAAAGATGAAATCCTTGACTTAAAAATGAGGTTGAGATCAAAATCAATCTTCTGATTAAAGAAAGAGATCAGTTGGAAGCTGAAAATGTTTCTCTTCTAAAGAGAGTAAGAGAAATAGAATCATTTGAAATCAAGTACAACACCTACCAGAAGGCCCAGTCTTCAATGGAAAGGTTAGTACTTGACCAACAAGTTGGCGTTGGTTTTGGTCTTGGGTATGGCTCAACAGAATCAGGTGAGTCTTCTATAATGCTTAGCACCAGAGTTGCTAAGGCAGGTAAGGTCATAGTGCCACTGATCTCTAGCCCCATTTGCCATGCTGGTGTATCTAGCACCAAGGTTGCTCATGAGAAAGTCAAATCAGAAAAACAAAAATTACAGGTTCAACCAAAACAAGTTTTGAAAAACAATGAACCTAGCAAAAACCCTAACAACAGAAAAGGTTTTCAAAATAATAAAAATCAAAGACAGAACACCTACAGACAATCTCATGACAACCCTGCCAGAAATGATAACCAGAAGGGCAGGTATAAAGAGAAGGTTACTCCCAGGCAGAGGAGGTTGACTGGTCAAACTCATAAGCCCAAAGCTAACCGCCCCTTTGCTCTTGTTTCCAACGAGAAAAGCTATGCAGAAGTATGTAAACAGGAAGCATGATCCTCACAAGCATCTGCCCAAAGTGAATTACACTTCGGTTTACTGTGACTACCAGGTGGACAAAGGGTACCACCCACTAAGGTTTAACTTGATGAGACCAAAGTGGTACTGGCTGCCTAGACTACATGAACCCTTAGGACCCAACATTGCTTGGGTACCTAAATCTTCCTTCTAATTTTGTAGGAACTGTGTGATTGAGCCATCTCTGAGCAAGAGTGGTTTATTGATAGTGGATGCTCCAGGCACATGACAGGTAACAGAAGTTGCCTAATAGAGTTCCAGAGATTCAATGGACCTAAAGTCACCTTTGGTGGACAAGATAAAGAAGGTCAAACAAAAGGAAGAGGAAAGCTGATCAAGAACCACACAATCATTGATGATGTCTCATATGTTAAAGGCCTGAAGTTCAACCTGCTGAGTGCTAGTCAGTTCTGTGACAAAGGCTACACTGTTGAATTCTCTAAGGAAGGTTGTTCTATCAAGCATGAGACAACAAAGGAAGTGGTTCTAACAGCTACCAGAAAAAGGAACATTTATGTTGTTGATTGGACTACTGCAAAAGATGGAATTTGCCTGATAGCCAAAGGAGATTCAAAACTGAGCTACTTGAATTTCAAAACAATCAACAAGCTAGCAAGGGATCACATTGTTGATGGAATGCCCAACATTGTGTACAAAAAGGAGAACCTGTGCAGTGCATGCTAGAAAGGAAAACAAGTCAAAAACTCCTTCAAACCCATTGTTGGAGACCTCTCTACTAGTCCCTTAAATCTACCTGATTCACATGGATTTGATTGGACCAGTTGAGACTCCAAGTGTTGGTGGCAAGAGATATAAACTCTAGTCAAGACCATCAGATCAGACAGAGGAACAGAGTTTGTCAACCAGGTCATAAAGGATTTCTGTGACCAGAATGGAACAATGCATCAACTCTCTGCAGCCAGAACACCTCAACAGAATGGAGTTGCAAAAAGAAGAAATAGAACACTCAAAGAAGATGCAAGGACCATGATCGCTGAATCAGGTCTACCTCTCAGATGGTGGGCTAAAGCTATCAACACTGCATGCTACACCCAGAACCAGAGCATGATTCACAAAGCTCATCAGAAGACCCCCTATGAACTCTGGAAAGGAAGAAAGCCTAACATCAGTTACTTTCATGCCTTTGGATGCAAATGCTACATTCTCAACAATGGAAAGGAACATCTTAAAGTTTTTTAGGAGAAAGCTGATGAAGGGACATTCATAGGCTACAATAGCACAAGCAAAGCCTACAGAGTACTGAACAAGAGGACTCTACTTGTTGAAGCGTCAATTCATGTCAAGTTTGATGATCACACTTCAATTGAGGATATAACAGAATCCCTGGAGAAAATCAACCTCGAAGAAGTCCAAGCTGAAGCACCAAAAGTGGTCGCACCAGAAGTGGTCACACCAGAAGTGGTCACACCAGAAGTGTTCATACCAGAAGAGATTACCAACTCTGTTCTACCAACTCACATCATGAATCTTGTTCTGCAAGACAATGATAGTGATGAAGAATCAGAAGCTGAACAAGAGAGACCCATACAACCTCTATCAGAACCTGATCTAACTTAGTTGAGAGATCACCCACCAAACCAAGTGATTGGACAAATAAAAAATGGTGTACAGCCCAGATCAGCTACAACAAGAAGAGAAGCAATGCTTGCTTGCTACATCTCTCAGATGGAGCCAATGACTGTAGAAGAAGCTCTTGCAGACTCAGACTGGATCAATGCAATGCAAGAAGAGCTTACACAGTTTGAAAGGAACAAAATGTGGGAACTTGTTCCTAGGCCAAAGAACCAGAATGTTATTGGAACCAAGTGGGTATTCAAGAACAAAGCTGATGAAGAAGGAAACATTGTAAGGAATAAAGCAAGGCTGGTAGCTAAATGATACTGCCAAGAGGAAGGAATTGATTTTGATGAGACCTTTGCACCAGTTTCCAGACTTGAAGCCATCAGAATCTTCCTAGCCTATGCTGGCTACTATGATATCAAGGTCTACCAGATGGATGTTAAGAGTGCATTTCTGAATGGAGATCTTGAAGAGGAAGTTTATGTGGAACAACCACCAGGTTTTGTCATTCCTACTCGATCTTCTTGTGTCTACAAGCTTAGAAAGGCCCTTTATGGTCTTAAGCAAGCTCCCAGAGCGTGGTATGACACATTGTCCCTCTTCCTAGTGAACCATGGGTTTACTAAGGGAAAGGTTGACAAAACTCTATTTCAAATCTCTGTTTCTAACCATATTCTGCTAGTACAAATATATGTTGATGAAATTATATTTGGAAGTACTAATGCAGAACTATGCAAGAAATTTTCTCAAGTTATGCAGAGTCAATTTGAAATGAGTATGATGGGAGAACTGAGCTACTTCCTGGGACTGCAAATAAATGTATATAGAAAAGAATACATGTTAATATTCTTAAAAAAGGATTGGATGAATGGTAGCTGGGATGATCGTTTATCTCTCCTTCTTGTGAGAGGTTCAGGGATCGATTCACTTGTCACTCTAAGGGGATGTTTACTTTTTCCATTAAGTCCTGAATGGATTAAGACGTCTGTGTGAATTAAGACGACGTTTGTCTGAATTAAGTGACACTGTGATAACAAGCTGTTTATTATGTGTGCTGAATGAGAAGTCTGAATTATATTAAATGACCAAATAAACCTTCTGTCGAAAAACCTTTCAGAATCATCGTCCTCTTCCTCTTCAACAAGGACATTCTCGGGTTTGTGCAAAAAAGCTCCAAAAAAGCTCCAAGAATGAACAGTAGCGTTCCAAAGCAAAACAACTCCAAAAATTCTGAAACTTGAGTATGTTGTTCTCCTAGGGAAGACGAGCATCACTGTATTTTCAGATTTCTCATAACCATAGTCAATCAACACCAGAATCAAAAATACAGTCCGTCCATGAGCAGTTGCGATAGATTGCAAAACAGTTCGAAAAATTCTGAAATTTCAGTATGTTGTTCTCCTAGGGAAGACGAGCATCACTGTATTTTCAGATTTCTTGTAGCCATAGATAATCAACACCAGAATTAAAAATACAGTCCGTCCATGAACAGTTGCGACAGATTGCAAAATAGCTCAAAAAATTCTGAAATTTCAGGATGTTGTTCTCCTAGGGAACACGAGCATCACTGTATTTTCAGATTTTTCATAGCCATAGCCAATCAACACCAGAAATCAGAAAACAGTCCGTCTGTGAACAGTTCCACGAAGGAGAAATCAGGGTTAAAACGGAGATGCTCGTATGCGGAGATGTCTGAAGCTGAAGGAGAATTAAAATTGGGCTGAATCATAAAGTCAGATATGATCTGACCGAATAAATCACTCTATCAATTAAGTCACAAATAAACACAAGAATATAGATGAACGAATAAGTCCTGATTTTCATTCCGGCCATTAAATCCTAAGTAAACGGGGCCTAAGCTTAATATTTTTGATTTGTTTTTGTAAAAAGACAAAGTTTATAAAAAACGGAACATGAATTCTAGGATTGGAGATATTTTGAAAGCTCTTTTGGACCGAAACCTGCTTGGCTTTCTTCTTTTTTACAGTTTTAATTTTTTTGATTCGTATAATCGTAAGAGATCAAAACTATGTTTCTTTGGCTTTTATTTTTTAAATCTTTAACCCTTAATCTGCGCAAACCTCCACGACAATCATCTCCCCAATTCCGAGCCGCCCAGCCGCCCAATTTGAAGTTTACGGTTTACATAATTCAATTTTTTTTTATTATTTACTGAAATTTCTTTTTAATGTTCAGATTGAATTATTAAATTTATGATATTTATGAATGTTACTCCCTCCGTCCCAAAATTATTGTCCCGTTTGGTTTTTCACACAGATTAAGAAAATGGCACTGTAGCGACACTGTTTGGCACTGTAGTGACACTGTTTGGCACTGTAACGACACTGTTTTGCACTGTTTGACACTGTTTGGTATAGATTTGTTTACCAAATAAGGAAGTTTTAGAAACGGGACAATTATTTCGGGACGAACCGAAAAGGAAAGCGGGACAATAATGTTGGGACGGAGGGAGTATATCAATATTTTACAATTTGGGATGAAAACATATTTCGATAATGTGCCCAGATTCAAAGAAATCCGGAGCACCGAGAGTAGTTTGAACGTTAAATGATTCGCCATTATTAAATGAAGAATTAGATTAAGTAATTGTTGAATGTGAACATAATTTGACTACTAAAGTAATCAATTAATCATTGTTCTAAAACTCGCTAGGCGTTAGTCGAATGGTTGAAGAGCACTTAGCGTCTAGGCGACCGACTAGACCGAGTTTTTGATCGACTACTACGATTTTTGGAACAGTGCTGATAATCTTCATGACCAACATGTTAATTTTGAATATTTGGAAGCTGGATTGAGTGGAAAAAACCAAATTTTTATCCTAATGTTTGGAGGTGCGCCATAGTTACCTTCAAAAAGGGTCGTTCCAACCTCGGGACCATGAAACGTTATGCTACTATAATATTTTGATAATGTACGTTAACTATGAAATGTTATGCTACTATAGTATTTTACTTCATTTTTTATTTTTTTATTAGTTAGAGTTATATTGGGTTAGGGACCTCATGACTCTAATTTTATGAGTCCGCCACCGACCGGAAAGCTATAAAACAATAAATAAAATATTATATTAGACTTAGCTTGGACTCCTACTCTTATCAGGTTGACCTATGGAACCCCGAGTCTTAACAGGATTCAACCTACTTTACTATATTTTACCGCCTTACAAGTGTGGGAAATGTTTAAGCAAAAATTTGATAAGCTAAAACTAATTAAAATGAAAATGATATATAGATCGGGAGTCGCACAAGAACAAATAAAAAGATGACAAGTGAGCAAATAAGAGTGGAGTTCAGTGTATTATTTGAATGTGTTGCTCTTGATTACAATGGGAGGATGTCCTATTTATAGGAAGAGTAGTTAATGCTCTCAGAATTGGTTCGTCCGTTACTGACAGGTTGGCCATCCGTAATGACGATTTCGAATATGTCAAGAGGTTGGTCAATTACAATTAATACCTTCCTAAATCACATTAAAGAACCTAATAATACATAGAAAACGTTACAATAATTAAGGTTAAGGCTTGTGAATGCTCCATTAACTCTTGCGGTCAACCCTCTTTAATGCCACATAAACCGTCAAATTCTTGCTCTAACAATTGCCCCCTTTCGAGAAGTTGACGCATATGGTACACGGGTCGGACCGTTAAGCGTCAATTTGTCGAAATTTTGGAAGAGCTTATACTTCCCATCATGGTTCATTGCGTCTATTGATTCGTCAACGACTGGTCACGATGTATTGATCAATTCGTCTGAAAAAATGCTTCCGTCTTTTTTTTGGTAATTCCTGATCTTATCCGTCGAAGTTGCTTAAAATAATGAAGGATGAAAGCCGGCATCTTATCTTCTTTCCTTCAAGATTGTGTTGACGACTAGACGACAATGAATTGGAACTTTGTCCACAACGATGTTGACACTTCGATTGGCAAAGGGAACTTCGTCCTTTGCTAGAGATGATGAGTTGGGTTGCATGAACGTAATCGATATCTTGCAAAAACTTTGAATACTATGTCGTTTGTAGTTTTAGCAATATTGTCGACATGAATGTTTATTATTTATGTCAATGTCGTTCGTATTGTCTCCTTATGCTTTGGAGTTGTTCGTTGTCATGCTCTTGGAAAATATGTTTGTGTTGTGTATTTCTTCAGTTTTGGATGTGGTTGTTGTCATGCTATTGGAGCATATGCTTCTGTTGTGTATTTCTGTAGTTTTGGATGTGGTTGTTGTTCCACATAGAGATGTCACATGTATGTGTACTATTGTTGTTTTGGCCAAAACATTACGGAGAATCGGTGACGTTTATATTCATGCATGTTTAACGTACATGAAAACCTCATTTCTTCCCCTAAAATTATGTAAACCCCCTGTCAATTGTGTTTTGACGTGTTGTAAAGCTTTGTTTGATGTATGTCAGGATTCTGTCATTGTTGCTTGTTGATTGTACCTGTATTTGCTAAGGTTGGTCGTTGGCTATAAGCCAACGGCCCTCTGTTGCTTAAGTTAGTGATCATTTGTATGTAAAATAAAGTATTAAATTAAGAATGAAACAAATTTAAATGTACTATATTTCGGCTTATCAAACCCTGTATGTCGTCTTGAACTTTTAACCAATATGTCTCTATCCGACGATTTTGAAGCACCTCGTCGAATCATTCTCTCCTACATTTTGACTTGTCAAAATCCATTTTCCATCTTGGATCTTCAAGCAATATGTCGAGCAATTCTGACCTAGCTTGATGACTCGTTCATTTGGTCTTGAATAGAATTTCCCGTGCCCCCCGTCGTCAAAACTTTGAAGAGATCTGTTTGCTTTGTCAGGTGGAAGGCGATTGTGACACGTTCCTTCTTTTGACGTTTTGAGCAATAGGTCATCTATATTAATAAATTTACTTACCTTATACAACCTTAGATTTTGAGGGCGTCATCTAAAAATGGTTGCTTATACGATTGGTCTGTCATAACTTGACATTGTTGACTGTTTTAACCTGTCAATCGTCGATTTTATGATACAAACGTGATGTCACCATTGAGTTCCAAGGCTCGACACGTGTCTAAAACCGGTAGATCGTCGGCCTATGTGTTCTCTTCCCTTGAGACTCGTTGGATGGTACGTTCGTCGAATCAAGCCGTCACGATTTTGACTATGTCAAGGTTGGCATCATTTTTGGACTCTTTGCTGCATATACACGATTAGTTTGATTCATAATAAAAAAGGAGATGTTACTTACCTGGAGTAATTTCAATCTTAAATCTTTGACAATGGTTAAACTCGTAATGAGTTCTTCATATTCGACTTCGGTATTTGTGGTTTTGGAATCGCAATGAGTTGTTCGTGAAATATTGCCCCCTTGTGGTGATTTTTGAAGGATTTCTGATTTGAGTAGAACTTACTCATTGCTTTGCATCCGAAAAAGCGCCTAAATACCCAACCACATAAGGAAACTCCAGAAGTATATTTCGATGAAACCATCACATCGTCTGTGTACATTTCTACGGTTTTTCCAATTTGATTTTTGAACATCATCGTCACTACCCATCGAAAGTTGCCCTCTGCATTCTTAAGTCCATAAGGTGTCGTTGAGTTCAATGAGATGAAACCAGCGGTGACGGTTGGTATATAGATCGGGACTCGCACAAGAACAAATAAGGAAGATGATAAGTGAGCAAATGAGAGTGGAGTTCAGTGTATTGTTCGAATGTGTTGCTCCTGATTACAATGTGGGATGTCCTATTTATAGGAAGGGTGGTTAATGTTCTCAGGACTGTTTCGTCAGTTACTTACGGGTTGGTCATCCGTTATGACGATTTCAAATCTGTTATAAAGGTTGGTCAATTACAATTAATATCTTCCTTAATCACATTAAAGAGCCTAATAATACATAGAAAATGTTACAATAATTAAGGTTAAGGCTTGTGAATGCTCCATTAACTCCTGCGATCAACTTTCTTTAATGCCACATAAACCGTCAAATACTTGCTCTAACAGGAAATATTTCATTATTTTTTATTTCCCTGATTAACATAGTACTGCATAGTTCTCCCTCCGTCCCGCAAAGAAGTTCTCGCTTTCCTTTTTTAGCAGTCCCAATAAGAAGTTCCCATTTCCTTAAATGGGAAGTTATCTACATCAAAACAGTGTCAAACAGTGCCAAACAGTATCAAACAGTGCCAAACAATGTCGAAACAGTGCCAAACAGTGTCGAAACAGTGTCAAAACAGTAAAATTTACCCCTGATAAGTTTACTTTCTTAATATATGTGTAGATCAAACCGTGAAATTCTTTTCGTGACTGGAGAGTACAAGAAAAGTGTGCACGTCAGCACGTATATATTTATGTATGTTTTTTAGGGATATATAATTTATATTTATGTATGTTGTCTGCGGCCATAATTAAAAATGAAGCAGAAATAAAGAGATCAGAAGGCGGCCAGGCCAGGCCAGTTAGGGGGAGTGGCACACTCATAAAAAAACATGATACGACCATACCTTGCCAATGTTATACGGTAGGCGCAACATAATTGAATTCATGAATGTCTTTCTCCCTAAAAAAAGACGTAACTCGTGCAGCGATCGTCGTTTACGATCTCCACCACACATATATCATATACGTTGTTTTATCTTTTTGTTTTTATTATTATTGCTCACACTATTTTATATTTAAAGTATTCCCATTTTAATGTTTCTTCCAACTGTATGTGTGATTTGATTTTTTTCCCTCAGAAGTTTGGGTGCAGTGTATATAAGGTATATGTTTAGCTTTAGATTAATCAAATGTTAATCAATTAATATCGTGTGGTTTGTCCTGGCCGTCTT